CGCCAGGTGCCCCCCGCCCCTCAGCAGGGCTGCAGGCAGGCGCTGCCACCGGCGGCCTCCCCAGGTGACCCTGAGGAGGAGGAGGTGGATGTGGGGACGGCAGAGCCCTGCCTGCCCCCCGGCACCCTCTGCGTCTGGCCCTGCGCCTCGTCCGAGTCGGATGAGGAGGTGGACGTCCTCACCTAGGGGGGCCGGCTCGGCCCCCCACACCGCTGCCTGCACGCAGGGCACCGCAGGCAGGGCTGCCCGTGCCCCAGGCACAGGGGCTGCACCCGCCCCGGGCTGCGTGGCATCGAAATAAAGCGCTGGAGCTGGCAGAGCTGCGCCGTGGGGCTGCTAGGCTTTATTGGGGAACAGCGGGGACGAGGGGGGATGCAGGGGGAGCCGGGGGGTCCGGCGGTGGCTGCTCGCAGCGGAGCTGTGGCATCGGAGACGGGACTGGGGCTGGCGGGTGCCCCCCACTTCGTCTCGCCTCTTCATGGACGCTCGCGCTGCGGGTGCCGGTCCCGGCTTGGCTGTGGGGAGAGGGCGATCGGTGTGGTCCCCATCCCCATCCCGTCCCTGTCTCCATCCCATCCCATCCCCATCCTGTCCCTGTCTCCATCCCATCCCTCTCCCCATCCCATCCCATCCCTCTCCCCATCCCCATCCCCGCTCACCTGGCCGCTGCCTCTACGCCAAGCTGCTCTTCAGGGCTTCCACCACGGCCTCCGGCTGGGGGAACTTCAGCTTGCGGGGGGGCCCCTTCCCAATGCCGCTCCACAGCTCCACGGCTGGGGAGGAGGAGGGGGGACGGGTCAGCGGTGCCGGGGAGCCCCCCGCCCCCCCCGGCCCCGGCACTCACTGCTGCCGTCCTCCTTCACCAGGGACACCTCGAAGCTGTTCCTGCGCGGCTGCCGGGGGTTGATGTCCACGGGGAGGTGGGCCACGGCCCCGCGCAGGGCCTCGCTCACCGCCGCCGCGTTGCGCCCGAACACCCGTCAGCTCTTGCTGGGGGGAGAGGGGGGGTCAGCGCCCGGGGGGCTC